TTTTTTGTATGAATCCACTGATTAAAACCAGCCAATTGTGGTTTAGTCAATAAAACATCATGAGGAACTCTACAGCTTAACGTAGTAAGGAAAACAGCTGCTGAAATGTGAAAAGCTGCAGATGTGTTTCCTTCAGTGCAGTCTTTGTAGCCTATTGTGATTATCTGCACTTATTACAAGTAATTAGGCTATGAGAAGTGTGTGTGAGAGAGGGGGAGGAATATGCCATCCTGCTAAGGAACTGCTTGAATATCCTATTAAATTATCTGCCAGAATCTAAGCATGGTTTGGCTCAATAACTTTAGTTTTCTATAGCTCTTTTTTCAGTATTTGGCTAATTTCTATTTTTAGTGCTTTGTTGCTGTGCTGTTAAATTCATTTCAAAGTGACATGCTTGCAGCATTTTTTTCTACCTTATGTTTTTCCTTTGATTACTGAGTAATAACAAAGTTAATATCTAGAACCATGGAAAAGGAAGCTATATTTAAAGCAATGTTTGTGTTATTCTGGCTATTTGTTCATAATTGTTTATACTATAGGGAAAGTGTGGGACTGCTTAGACTTGGCTTTATTCCAGGAAATGCTGGTTTACCTACTCCAGGTGAAGGCAGCAAAAATGACCAAGCCTTTTCCTGTTCCTGCTTGCTCTCTGGGAAAGGGCAGTCCAATCTAAAGTAAAAAGGATGAGAAGGAAGATTTCACCTGACTTTCTACCTCTGGGTTTAAAGGCAAAGTTGTATCTGTGAAAGCCCCTTCAACATGTAAGTTTGATTGAATGATGTTTCTCTACAGTTATACATGTTTATTCTGTGAGTGAATTTAAAGGAATAATTATGAACCTGTTAAGAACCAAGTATATATTTTTTGCCAAACATTACATTGTTTGAAGTTTTTCATTACAATCAACAGAAAATATTTAACAAAGTTGAGAATTGGTGGTACTGTTAATATTATTCTTTAAACAGAGGGGGAACAAACCTTTTCCTTATTCCATTCTTTTTGTCTTTACTTGGTATTGATGTTTTCTTAAGATTTATCTCCCTGAATGTTTAAGATAGGAGATCATCGCTATGGCTTCCCAGTGTTATCTCTGCGTAAATGTTATGGTGTTGAAGTATTGAGCCGAGGTAGTGCAGTGGTTAGAGTGCAGTACTGCAGGGTACTTCAGCTGACTGCTAGGTGCAGTTCAGCAGTTCAAATCTCACCGGCTCAAGGTTGACCCACCCTTCCACGGTGGGTAAAATGAGGACCCAGATTGTTGGGGGCAACATGCTGGCTCTGTAAACAGCTTAGAGAGGGCTGTAAAAGCACTATGAAGTGGTATTTAAGTCTAAGTGCTATTCCTATTGCTATTGCTTAATAATATGAAATTATCAGAGTGCTTCTTACAACTGCAACACCTATAGTTATTTACGTCTCTGTAAAAGGACCAGTGTCACTGAGGTGCTAATAGCATTTAGAATTAGAAGTTATTTAAATTAAATAAACTAAAAGAAGCTTTCAAATGTTCATTTGAATAAACTTAAGCAAGCTTGTTACTATTGATAATGATGAGGTATTGCAACATATTTGCTATCTTTAGTTTAGATCTTCTCTCAAAATAGAAAATGAAACAAGTGTAAGATGTCTATTAATAGCTAGTATTCCTAGTTGTCTTCACTGATATCACCATTTTCTATGATCTGATTCACATACAATCTTTATTAGGATACACTTTAATCATGCTTTGTTGAATAAGTCATTGTGGCCTGGCTTGCATATAATGCTAACCAAAAATTGATGTTTTCCTAAATTACACTAAATCAGAAATTAACAATGTTGGTGTGATTTGTGAAAAAGGCTATTCTAATTTGTACTGAGAAAGATTGCATTTGCATATATGAAACTAATTAAAGCATAATAATTTTTGTTGCATAGCATTTTTTTACTCCAACCCACAAGAGATATAAGACTTAGAAATGTGGATGTTTCTTAGTCTCCATGTTAAGGGATTTGTCTTTGGAGATTCAATGGAGGGAAATGATAACCATGACTACCATAGTTAGCTGACATCAAGAGATCTCATTGCCTGAGAAAAGAAACACCTGTGGATAGAATATTTACATATACTGTATTATCCATCTCTACCCCTCTCCATTTGCTCTACCAATTTGGAATGTTAAGAGTCTACTACTCAGCTGAAGATCAAAGATCATAGTTGTTGATTGGTCCATTCAGTTCCATTTACTTAAGTCAAAGTTAGGTAAAAAGTAACTGTTGAGGTCCCATTTCTAGTTCTAAAACCTTAATTGTAATTTCACAGTAACCCAGGGAGATAAAAGTTTAATTTTTTTTGCTCTCAGCCCTTTTGTTTCAAAAGAGAAAGTAGTCTTCCTACCTGAGTGCATGTACATTTTTTTTAAAGTTTTTAAAAACCAAAATCTATCCAAGTGAGAATCTTTTTTTATTTAAATGAATATTTTAAGCTTGTGATCACACTAGACTTGATTCTAACCAGTTATTCAGAAGGATCTTAACATTGAATTGATATTTTATGCGTGGGTCTTTACACAGATCCACAAAATAAATGCAATTAACCATTTGATCCAGAAATCATCTCTTTTACTATTGTAGTTCCTAAGCATTTCTGCTTAGAAACAGTCTGACATGTTTTCTTCAATGCTTCAATGAAGTATGAAAAAGTAATTTTCAGCTTCAAAACCTGTCTTCCAAGTTCTCAACTTGTTCATTATGTAACAATTGAGATTACTCTTCAATCAACACTTACAGTAGCTTAGTAAGGTCAACTGAATGTATACCTAGATTGAGAATATCTGTTCACTTCTGCTAACTAGAGAGCTATATAAAAAGAATAGGGCAGGGGTGAAATTCAGCCGGTTTTATCCAGCTTGGGCAAACCAGTAGCGGCGGCTGCAGAAGGCTCCGCCCACCCATGCGGACGTCAAGATGTCACTTTTTTGCGATGATTTTAAGCCTCTGCGCATGCGGAGAAACCTTTGCGCATGCGCAGACGCCTTTGCACATGCGCGGATGACAGCACGTTAGAGCGAAGCAAGAGAGCACGCAGCACGCACACTTTTGCAAACCAATAGGGAAGGTAAGTGAATTTCACCCCTGGAATAGGGCCTTCTTTTGCTTAGTTGCTGTCACTTGTCAAAATATCAGCTGGTAAAAATAAAGCAAAAAAAATCTTAAAATAAGGAATCAAGTTTATTTTTAAGGCTAAGCCTTTATGGCCTGATATACCTGCGAAATACTGATATTGTGTCGCAGTGTAGATGAAATCTCAACTCTCAGGAAACATTTTCCCTCTAAACTGATGTTGCATAGAAGCCTTAAGTGGATAATAACATGGTCACTATCTATTTCTGGTTTGGGATGTTTTTATCATCAATAGCCATCACATATGGCTACACATTTTTATTTTATTATTTCTATTTTAAAGCCTACAGTTTCTAAACTAAAATGATGCTTCTTATTACTAGGAAATACATATCATGTTAGGATAGCAGAAGTATATTCCATTTTAGGCATTGTCCAAAGCAGGGCTCCTGAAAATTGTTTAAGAAGCCAAGATAATTGAGCTGCCCTACTGTCTGCAGATTTACTTTAATATCTTTACGTTGTTATGCTAACATAAGTTTCAGATAAAGTTGCAACTCTTTAAAGTCAGATTTTAGAAATCAGCACACTTTATGATTGGTAAGCAGTGTAACTTTTGAATATGCAAACAACTAAATGATAATATTAATCTGTAAGATATGTATGTATATTGATTTGGGGGGCTTCATATAAACTTTATTATTTTTATTATGTGCATATTTTAGAGGTGTCTTATTAAAAATGCATATTTAAAGAAAAAAACAGTCTCCTATTAAAAACTAGTGTCTGACCCATTGAACATTATTCTGAACCCAGGGGACATTATTCTAAAATGGTCAAAGTGAGCATGAATATATTTCTCAAGTCTGCTGCTAAATATTTTAAAAATCCAAATCTGGGTTTTTCTAATAATTACAAACCTTAGGAAGGCTGCTGTAAGATAATGAAAGAGATGAAGTTTAGTTTGGTTTACAATGTCAAGTTTCATTTTTTTTTCTTTTCAGAGACATTAATTTAAAATAATGTAATTTCACAATAAGCAATATGTGACTCTGTGGTGTTTTTACTGGAAGAGTAAATATGCACAATTATATTTAACAAGCCATATCAAACTTTAAATGTAGTTTTTATAAAGCTTGTAGAAGCAGCACAGTATTGCTAGTGTGGAAATCCTTGAGATGCACCTTATTTTAGATTAGCGTTTTTTTCTGAGGAAGTTGGTATCATTTATTTTTGGTACCCAACATGCTCATGCTCATGCTCATTCTCTCTCTCTCCCCTCCCTCCCTCTCTCCCTCTCCCTCTCTCTCTCTCTCTCTCTCTCTCTCTCTCTCTCTAATGGCTAATGAGTGTGTGCTGAATATTGATGAGGCTTTCCCCTTGGAGGACTATCACTATTCATACCCCCTTGGAATACAAATGTCTTTCTGAATAGTCACTTAGACCAAGCCCCTCAGTAATCTATAACATCATTAACCTATAACACTTCTTCCAATGAACCATTGCATAGTTAGATACTGCTGTTTATATATTTAAAGTACTGTGTGTGTCTGCATGTGTATTAGAATGGAATGTTTGTGTTTCAAAGAGAGAGAAAAATGGAGAGTGGATTCTCATAAAAGCGAGAGCAAATTAATATTGTTTACCAAAAAAGCTTGACTGAATTAATCAAGTTTCTGTACTAGAGAAAGCAACAAAATGTCCCAGATTTCCTGTTGAATAACCAGAAAGTTGATATGGATCATGAGGTTTAATTATTGTTATTTTTTGCTCCTGTTTGTTTTTTTGTTCTTTTTTTTCCTTCTCCTCTTCCCCAACACCCAATTCTAGGAAAGAAAAGTGTTGAAATCCTGACTCCTGAGGCACTCTGTTACAAACTGACGACCTGCGAGTTCACAATGCAGGAGATTGAGGCACTGGAGAAGAAAGTTCCTGCTGTCCAGACACTATTCTTTCCATCTCCCAGCGAGAGCCGGGAGGGGAGCCGAGGAAGGCTGAAAAGGCAACGGTACCAGGAGCTGCCATTGGAAGGAGCTGTCTGCATCTCTCAGTGCTCTACTGAGCATGTCTCAGAGGAGCCTTATGCTGGCAGCACATTATGCAAAAAGGCAGCTCGAGCAGCCGAGAGAGAGTCAGAGCAAGCCTTCTCTCCCCTTGCATCACCGCCGCTCGAAAACAACCCTGGATTACTTGAGAGGGCCTGCCTGCCTGCCCAGGTGAATGAAGCCAAGCACCATGGCTTGATTCCTGACGTTGCCCGACCGCTGAACACCATGGGGAACCAAGATGGGAAGCTGAAGAGGAATGCAGGTGATGTACACGAAGGCAGCGAGGATGGTTCTGGGCCCAGGGATGCTGAGGGCACAAAGAAAGGAGGGGGGAGCAAAAAGACCCTGGGCAGGCATGGCAAAGGGGGAGAATCGAAGAAGAAGGGCAAGTCTGAACCCAGGTCATCTGTGTTTTCCAATCTGCGCATCCGGAAAAACCTTTCCAAGTCTAAAGATGGAAACAGCAGCTCGAGAGAGGATGTTTTAGAAAGCCAGGCCGTGCACACAGGAGAGCTAGACAGTGCTCACTCCATTCTCACCAAAACTCCTGATATAAGCATTTCTGCAGATGAAGGGGGTCTCTCGGATACCGATGCAGAGCATTTTGAAAATACAAATGAAACTCGCCCTGCAGCTGCCGAGCCGCAAGATGGACAAAGAACCAGCTCCGGCTCAGATACGGATATATACAGTTTTCATTCAGCCACCGAACAAGAGGATTTGCTTTCTGATATTCAGCAGGCAATTAGACTGCAACAGCAGCAACAGCAGCAGCAGCAGGGGACAATTAACATTGGAACTGAGCAGCAGGGCACCAAAACAATGGCCCTACACATGGCTAATTCTCAAGCAACCCCATTAGATTTTGAAAGGTTTCTTTCACTCAGCAGTGACAAAGACACTAGCCCAGATACCGAGCAGCCGGTCTCTGCTAAATCAGGAATCGTAGAATATGTCCCAAGCTGTCAGGCTGAAGTGCCAGAAAGGGCAAATGGAATGGGGCGCTCCTGCAGCAGTGTGTTTGAGATGCAGGAAGGACCCGAGCAATTGTCAGCAGAAGAGGAACAACCTGCTGGGGAAGGAGGAGACTTCTTCTCTACTCCCAATGCTGCAATTACAGAAGAAGAGACTCTGCTGGACAGTTCAGTCTTTAATTTCCCACCCCCGGCTGGGGAGTCTGAGACTGAAAGAGTTGCTGTTGAAGGTACAGGTGGTGAAGGAGAAGCTGAACTGGCAGATGCAGGCGGGGATCAGGTTGCTGTGGCCACGGACAGGAAATGGAGTTTGTCAACTAGCAGAGAAGCCGTGGAGGAGGGCTTTCCTGTGGAAATGAAAAATGGGATTTGTTCCTCAGAGGATGTCTCCAGCAGTCCAGTGCACACTTCCAAATGTTTTAAATCGTACCCTTTCATCAACCCCTGCTACGTCAAAACCACCACTAGGCAGCTGAGTTCTCCGAACCATTCGCCTTGCCTGTCCCCCTCACAGAGCCCTCTCTTTAAAAGGAGACGGGAGCCCACTCGGCTGAAAGAGAAGGCACCAAGCAAGAAACAGAGATCTGCCAGTTTGGCAGGGACATTTAGCCGATCTGCAGACTGGACTCGTGAGGTTTCGGATCAGCCCAGTGAAATAGCTCAAAAGTCAGGCTCTGCGGATTTTTTGGAGTACAGGCAGACCAGAGATGGTATCCAAGGGGAAAGAGTGCCTTTGAATCATTTGAGAAAGTTCTCAGGAATGTCACCTCCTACTGATGCCTTCCCTAATGTATTTCGAGGTAAGTGTCCTGTGTAAACAAACAGTTGCTGCAGCTTCATCTCTGAAGCAGAAACATCTAAGCATAATAATAACTTCTTTTCTCTTGTTAACTTGACTTTCATTTACAGCTCAGCTGAGATTCCAACCTCTGCAAATAACTACAGGAGGTCTGTATTTCCAATAGAAATGAGTGTAATGTTTGTTGCAAAATTCCTCACTAAAGCATGTTAGAAGTACTCATTAGGCAAGTGACCTTATAAACTATCAGTGAGTTGTATGCATCAAAGCCAGTAAATATAATTTCTAGGTTTATGTAGTCCTTTCCAGACATATTGTCCTCCAGATATGCTGGTGTAGTCATGATGACTGAGGATTCTGGGTACTGTCCTGGGGAACCATAATGGCTCAGGAATCTTGGGAAATGTAGTCCTAACACAACAAGAGGCTTTCATTTTGGAAGAAAATGACCTACTGTGCGCATAGAACAACTTGTTAATAATGATAATTTATTTTCTGCATTGACAGTGATGTGCAAATATTTTATAGCTTTGATAGAGGTTTATTCTGGATCCTTTGTAAATGCTATTTTAAAAACAAGGATTCCTGAAAGTGTAAATGTGCCATAGTTGGCTAATAGGTTAATGATTTAGTCTAGACAGAATCCTAACACTTCATCTGCTGAGCCAATCTGGCCTTTAGCTGCCACTTACAAATAATCTATTTTTAAAGAATGCTATGTTTTATACCTTATTCCTTTCTTCACATCTTTCCTTTAAGACTGATCAATGTTACTTTTTTTTAAGCTAAAATAACAGCAAAAGGGAATTAATAGTTGTACTCAAGGCCATCCTTCCACTGACATCATTTCTGAATCAGGGACCCCCTACAAAATTGAAGAGGGCCCTGGATCTCCTGCACACTTTCAAAGGCTGAGGTGCTGGATCCCTCGCTGATACCCCACCATCTAGGTCCTAGATTCTAGGAGCTACTTTTTCTGTTCCAAACACCTCTGGACCTTGCTTCCATCCAGCATTCCTTGTGATCTGATTGTAATGCCCTTGAAATCTCTACAGAGGATCAGAGAAAGGAAGGGACCAGGGCAGTTAGGCCCAACACTTAATTCTGTGCTAAGTTTAGGTTTAAATAGCACTTATTGGATAGGGGGTGGCATCTTAGTTCCCACCTCTTTTTCCAAAGCCCAGCCTGGTAATGAATAAAGACATATTCTCCCATTCCTTTTATGAATCTACTAGCACTTCAAGGACTGTATGTTGAGGAAAGGACCAAAGACATTTGGAGGAAAGAAATGATGTTGCAATAGTCCCGCTCTGTAGGTACTTCTCAAGCCAGCCTGTATTTTTCATTTTGTAATGCTGGGGCCAGTAACTTCTATATTACACTATGTTAGGATTCTCATTACTCATCCAAACATATTGTATGTTGACACCAAAATTGGGGGTCCATTTGTATTTTTTTAAAAATCTAGTTTTTTATTCTGAACATGATCAATTAGGCAACATGTGGTTTTTAAGGTGCTTTCAGTATGAACCGATGACTCTGTGGCTTAACAATCAACCACTCACTTGCAAAGTGAATGAGTCAGTTTGCAATAAGGAGATTTTCCCAGATAGAAGATCTAGATATCTTCAGAACTGCCTTCTCCCAATCCATCCATCCATAAGATCTTGTAGAAGATCTTACTTTAAGTCCCCTCATTTAATGACTGCCATTTTCAGGGGCCTTGGGGATGTGCCTTTTCAATAGCTGTCCCTTCTCTTTGGAATAGCATTTCCCCAACGTCCAAATCTGAACCATACCCTACTAAGTTTTAGAAAGACCATCTAAACCTGTTTTTTTTTCTTCAACAAACCTTAGTGGAGGGAATATTGTGAATGACCCCTTTTGTAATGTGATGTTTAACAAATATAGAGGTCTATTTATCTTTGGTTTTCTGCTGTCTTCTGTTTTGGATTGTACTATTTGTATAGCTTACTCAAATACTTTGGCCACCTAATGAGAAGAAAGTCTCACTGGAGAATTGCCTAATGTTGGAAAAGATTGAGGGCAAAAGAAGAACGGGACGACAGAGAACGAGGTGGCTGGATGGAGTCACTGAAGCAGTAGGCTTGAGCTTAAATGGACTCCAGAGGATGGTAGAGGACAGGAAGGCCTGGAGGAACATTGTCCATGGGGTTGGACATGACTTCGCACCTAACAACAAAAATTTGTATAGCTTAAGAACTTCTTTAGATCAGTAGGATATGGGGGTGACTCTGATCTGGTTTCAATTGGAACAGCATAGAAATCTAGCAAATAAATCTCTTCTGTTACATTTATCACCTACACTGACACCTACCCATGGAATGAAGATGGGTTGGAGAACCATTTCAAGAATACAACACAGTCAAATTTTAGCTGGTATTTTCATAGTTCTGGGCAACTTTGTCATGAGAGTAAATTCCCATTTTGCAACTTCTCCCATTGATCTCATGGTGAACAAAGTGAAACTCAATTTTAGATTGTTTGGATGAAAAAGTCCCTGACCATAGATATAAAATCCATGTAGTCCTAGGAATGACATTTAAATGCTTTCCAAATATAATGTTACTTCAGATTAAGATGATGGATGGTATTTGATTTCTTGTTTAAAATCTGCAATTTATGTCAATGTATTATAACTTGGGCAGAGGTAAATGTGGGGTCCTTTATACATGTCAACTTACCCTTTTGCCTAAATATTAAGAAATCACTATGGTCTCTTTGATTTTAGTTTATTTCTGATCCCCTGTTCCTGTTTTGCTATAAACATATTGACATTCATACAAACTAAGAGACTTTGCGCTATGAGTTGTTCATATTTTCTTTCCTTGCTATTACTCAGGTAGCAATACATAGAGGCAAGGCAGCCTGTAATTGTCCAGAAATTCTTGAACAGCAAGTCTCCGTATTTCAACAATTTCTGGGAATCAAACCTTGTCCATTCGTAATAGCATTGCAGAAAAATGCTCTAGGTATTTTCTTCTGCATTAGAACCATTCATTTCAAAGTATTGTCATAATGTTGATTATATCTCTGCTATGTTTTATTAAGAGCCTTGGTAGCACAGTGGTCTAAAGCACTCTGTTATTAAGACCAGCTGCCTGCAATTACTGCAGGTTCGAATCTCGCTAGGCTCAAGGTTGACTCAGCCTTCCATCCTTTCTAAAGTAAGTAAATTGAAGACCCAGCTGTGGGGGCAATAAGCTGACTTTGTATAAATATACAAAAGAATGAAGGCTATTGCTTAACACATTGTAAGCCACCCTGAGTCTCCGGAGAAGGGAAGCATATAAATCAAATTTTAAAAAAAAAAGTATATCCAAATTAACATTTACATGACACCCTGGCAATATATAATGAAATCTAACTTAAAAAAAAATTAGGGGAATTATTGAATTGGTTTCAATTCCTTTTTAGCAAAGGAGCTAATTCAGAAACTATTCCAGAATTCATTCAAGTCAATGACAAGGTAAAATAGATGATAGAACATAAGACCTGGCAGAGATGTCAATTCAAAATCTCCCTGGAGGCATAGATTGAAAACAGTAAAGTACATTGAGTTGTGTTAAACTGATACAACAAGTTGGGGAAAGTGTAGGACAAAAGTATTTAATACGTTTAGTTATTTTTACAATCTTTCTCTTAACAGTTGAATACAATTGAATCAATTACTACCACTTAGAGATAGTGCTTTTAATACACACCCATAGTTCATTTAAACATAATTCACTTAACCCAATTTTGGGGATTCATATGACTCCATACTATATTCCATACATCCATACTATAAAGATATTGCCTGAATTTGTACAAGACTCTAGGCTATGATTAGTTGGCCTGTTAGTGAGCCATATGAAGACTGCCATATAATGGTAAGCAGTGCGCCGTCTTTTAAAAGATGAGTCACACACTGTGAAACAATCACATTATTATCATAAGTAGAGTTTTAGAATGTATTTAAGAAGTTTATTAAGCATACAGACCTAACAGGTAGAAAATAATAGGTAGATTAGAATTAATAAATGGGGCTGTACAATGTTGCATAGGGCCCTGTGTAATGGCTGTTTGCAACCTTAAACTAAATAAGTCTTTTGCTACAGGTGTGGTGTAGGTCTCAAGGATACCTGTGTGAACCTGGAGGGGAGGTTAATTTAAGGAGTTGCAGACAGGGATCATATGTATATGCCCCTACCCATTCCAAAGCCTCTGAATCTGAAGTGTTGCCTAACCCTACTACATTATTTTAACAGCTTGAACAGAAATCCAAAAGAAATGTAAGTTTGAAAAACAGATCTTGATATAGGTTAGAAATTGACATACAGTAATACGTTGTAAGAAAACATATGCTAGAATCAAGGAGAGAAGCAACCTAGAACTAAGGAGAAATTTCCTAATGGTTAGAACAATTAATCAGTGGAACAAATTTGCTTCCAGAAGTTGTGAATGCTCCAACACTGGAAGATTTTAAGAAGAGATTGGACAACCATTTGTCTGAAATGGTATAGGCAGGAAACCCTATACCAAAGGGTGAGACCAGAAAACCTTCAAGGTCCCTTCTAATTCTGTTATTCTGTATCCTGAGTGAAAGTTGCAGAATAATCAAAGCCCCAGCCAAAATTTCTAGTCATATACAATAGCTGGCTCTTAAATTTCAATATGAATCCTTATTTTGGGATTGCATTCAAGCTGTCAACCACCACTAAAATCCAGTCTTCAGCTTGCTTCCTTTCATTTTTGCCTGTATTGAATGATCCTATTGCTTCCACATAAAGAGGCAGGAGAATGTACTAAGCAGGGACGGCCTGATTGTTTAACTTCCTTCTTTCCTTTGTAAATCATTTAGTTATTTCTTCCTAACACTGTCTCAGAAGGAAAGCGTTGAATGTTTGTTCAATTTTAAACACAGCAGATGTGATTTAAGTATGGAGACTTATTTTCTAAGATAGCTAACTTTCTTTTCACTCATAAAAAGTCTTTGAT